ACCCTGCAGAGCCCTGTAGAACCCTGCAGAACCTTGTAGAACCCTGCAGAGCCCTGCAGAACACTTAAGAACCCTGTAGAACTCTGCAGAACCCTGCAGAGCCCTGTAGAACCCTGCAGAACCTTGTAGAACCCTGCAGAGCCCTGCAGAACACTTAAGAACCCTGTAGAACCCTGCAGAACCCTGCAGAGCCCTGTAGAACCCTGCAGAACCTTGTAGAACCCTGCAGAGCCCTGCAGAACACTTAAGAACCCTGTAGAACCCTGCAGAACCCTGCAGAACCCTGTAAAAACTGCTGAACCCCGCAGAACTATTTAGAACCCTGTAGAACCCTGTAGGACCCTACTGAACTCTACAGAACCCTGCAGAACCCTGCAGAACCCCGCAGAACCCTGCAGATCCATGCAGAGCCCTATAGAACCCTGTAGAACCCTGAAGAACCCTGTCGAACCCTGCAGAACCCCGCAGAACTCTACAGAACTCTGCAGAACCCTGCAGAACCCTGTAAAACCTGCTGAACCCTGGAGAACGCTGCAGAACCGTGTAGAACACGGCAGAAACATGCAGAACCCTGCAGAGATAACGATCTCCATACAGGACAGAGAGCATCGCTGATCTTGAAGGATTTCATCAGTTGTTTTTATTTTCCAGACTGAGACGTTTCCAGTCATGCTGAGGTTCTTAGTGTGAATTCTTCATCTCTGTTCCGTCTCCTTACAGTCTGCCTCTGGACTCTCCAGAGCTCCATCATATAGCTTCTTTCCTTGTTCTCTCTGATTCATTTTCTTTATTAAATTCCTCTGTGGGGAGCAATGTTTCATTTTAAAGTCTGTTTAAAGCGCTCTGTGTGTGTGCTTAAAGTCTGAAACACTCACCATCAGCAGGACATTTTCCCGTGGGATGGGATGAATAGATGACTGCTGGAGGAATGAGGAGTCTCTGTTTTGCAGGGAAGGAAATCTGGCTGCTAGGAATGAATCTGTTTGCATCCCAATCATCCGTCTGGAGGGACGCTGAGGAATGGCTGATGATCAGACATTAACGTCCTTTCTGTGCTCTGGATTCATCTTTCCTCATCCACATTCTCTCCTTCCAGCTGAAACATTCCCGGATGTAAAGAAGGAGCGATGATTAACCCGTTTCCAGCTGTTTTTAGATCCTTTTTATGCTCACATTTTATTTTTGTAACTTTTTTTCTTGAAAACAGGCAGACAGAAAACAGGATTGAGAGAGGGGAAGGACACCCGGCCAGGACTGGATCCGGTTACAGCCGCACCGAGGACCAAAGCTTCTAACCTCTGCAGCTTCGCCTTGCTCTCACCCTGTCCAGCTTTATCTCCCACATGTCTCAGGTGGTTTCAGAACAAACACATTTTAGTGCAGAAAAAGATCTAATGAAAATTTACAAAGCAGCAGTTTTCAGAGATGTGTTTATTGGTTTGCTAATGTGAAGGTAAGGTGCTGTGAATGACATGGAGCTTCAGGCTGTGCTCTTTGGTGGAACTAATGGCCCAGAGGCCCGGTGGGCCCACCGCCTGCATCAGGAATCAGACAGCAGGCAGAGGGGACCCCATCCACAGACACTTCAACCGATGCTGCTGAACATTCTCAGTCATCCAGGTCAGTCATTTCAAAAAAGATTAATAATCAATCCACTGGACTTTGTTTCCAAGTTTGAAGAAGTTTCTCTTCCATCCAGGAAG